CAACGATCGATAATTTTGTTGGTTCTTGCATATTAGGTACACATTCAACAAAAGTTAAAGCAGGATACTCTACGATGTTAGAAACTAAAGTACATAGAACATACCTGGATTAAGTGCGTAGATTTAAAAATGATAAACTTCCCATTGGGTTGGAAATACTTTTGATGACCCTCAGAACAGAAAAAGTTATTCAAATTTCACTAATTATGACACTTGTTGAAAAATCTGTGTTGATAGAGTTCGTTTGGGTAGTGATAAATTTGTTGGGAAATAAAAGGTCAACCGACTACCGTCAACACGTTGAATAATCTATGCTCCAATTCCAGCAATTTAGATGGAACACGAGCGTTAAATTTGAATATGAATTTTGGCGGTTTAAGCGAAAAGGAAGGGGAACGATTACATTAGAATATTCACACTATGGGTGAGCGATACCAGGGTTACAGAAATGCAAATATAATTTCTGATTACTGCTGGAGAATTCAATGCAGTACTCCTGGGTGAGTCATAGAAAAAAGTCGTATAAAGAGAGTTTTATACAAATCAGTTTTGTATAATACTACATTTTAACTTGAAAAGTGATATATTATGTATTTGTAAAAAATTATCCTTTTCAATTGCAATAAGTAGAGGTGTTATTGGATTGCTGTTTTAACGGAAGTTTAAATTTGAAAAGGCAATGTAAATTGAATGGCTAACATTTATAACATGTTTACAAATATCACTAATTAGTATCGGTATTTTGAAACATATGTTTGTGTGTCATGTCTACGGCGTACAACATGATTTAATTGAAATAGTATAAAACTACGGACTGTGCAATTTAAGAATATGAATTATTAGTCTCGATTTATTTGCATATTTGTGTACGATGAAAGGACTCATTTATGTTTAGAAAACTCGAGCGCGCGCAGTGTTATCATAAGAACAATGTTTCTTCAGTAGCAGAATGGCTCCTTTGATATTTTCAAGGAGTTCATTTCCCAGCGTGCATTAATGGAATAGGTCTTTACATTTCATTTTTAGCACATTCTCCGAATCCAATTTTCCTAAAGAGTTGAGAATATCACAAAAAGTAAGTTCTTTTATTGTGATTTAGTTACAAATAAATTATAGAGGGTTTTCAGCCACAGCGATAGATATATTTTAACGTTAAAAAGAGATGGAAATATAAAATCCGATACTGATTTACCTCTAGTTATCATGGGCATAAGCTATTCTGTACGCTCTCGGCGAATTACCGTTGGATTTTGTATTTACAAGTTGTGTCAACCAAAATTCCAAACAAAAATTTTATATGGAGAAACTAATTTCGAAATTTAATTCGATTTGTATTAAAACCTGTCAATTGAAATAATTAATTTTCAAATAATATAGTTTTCAACCAATAAGTACTGTTGTTGAGATAGAAAATTGTTGATATTTATATGTTTAATTATAGGATTTCAGCACACATTTTCTTTGATATATTATTATACAGTAAAATCTCGATATAACGGACCTCATTAGAACGGACGGATTGTCTATACGATGTATAAATCAAGGATGGTAGTTCTAGTTTTAATGTTATTCAGTGCTAGATTGTTGTATATTTTTATTGAACTAAAAGTGGAACTAACACTAGACCAAGAAATATTCGGATTTAGCCGTACGTTTCATAAGACGGCTAAACTCAAATGTTTCTAATTCTAGATCTAGTGTTAGTTCTAATGTTAGTGTTAGTTCTAGTTGTGGTTGTTATTCAGCGTTAGATTGTTGTATATTTTTCATTGAAGTAAAATTAGAACTAACACTAGACGTCTTCAGATGCACGGCTAAACCCGAAACTTTCTAGGTCTAGTATTAGTTCTAGTTTTAATTAACATTCAGTTAGCTAGATGGTTGTATTGAACTATAAGTAGAAATAGCACCAGACTGTTAGTTCTAGTTTTGGTTGTTATTCAGCGTTAGATTGTTCTATATTTTTCATTGAAGTAAAACTGGAACCAACACTAGAACTAGAAACATTAAGAGACACGTGGCTAAACCCGAATATTTCTAGTTCTAGGTCTAGTCTTAGTTCTAGTGCTAGTGTTAGCTCTAGTTTTAGTTGTTATTCAATGCTAGATTGTTATATATTTTTCTTGAACTGTAGAACTAACAGTAAACCAGTGGTTCCCAAACTTTTTCCCTTTCTGGCATCATATGATGCTCTCTGACAATGAAGAAAACATGCTTACTGATAACTTGTACTTTTTGTTAACTTATTAAAATTTATTTAAGAAAAAAATCTAAATATTAAATCATTAATGTGAAGGGTGGTGCTGAATTTCTTCCATAAGATGGGAAATTCTGAGTTGTATTTAAGAGTGCACAACGTACTTAGGTCGCTAGCAACATCAAATCTATTCCGTTGTTTGGTCTTAATGTCCATCAAAATAGAATACCCTTTCTCGCATAAGTAGGTAATCGAGAAAGGTATATAAACTTTCAAAATTATTTCCACGATTAATGGATAGTTACGATAGCATTTTATCCAAAAAGACGTAATTTCCATATTTTCAAAGTCAGCTTTCACTGCTGAATCGTGTTTCAAGTCGATTACTTGTTCTTGCATGTGTTATGTGTGAATTTATGTTCTTCTTTATCATCTAAATTGGCAAAATAGCGTTGAAATTCATGAATAAGGCTTTCTAAATGTAATTATTACATTTTCAACAATGTTACGAAAAATTAGGTAGTGAGCTTGCAGACGACGTTTCCACAAAAGTAATTTTTTCAAAAAAGCTTGAATAATATCATGATGGGAATTTATGTTTGCCGACATGTTACCTTACAACTTCAAATGAAGCATGTTTAATACCTCGAAAATATCAGTTAGATAAGCGAATTTAATTTGAAAAGTTTTATCATTTGCGTCAAATAATTCATGTTTTTTATTCTATTTGAAAAACTGCTGTACTTCCATTCGTAATTCAAAAAGTCTGGACAGCATGTTTCCCTTCGAAAGCCATTTCATGAGAAATACAATTTTTTTGTTTTCTGAACCAAAATCCGAACTAAGAATTTTTAAAATCCTCGTATTTAAGGCAGAATGACAACTGTAATAGTTATATTTAAACATTCGTTACAATTTTTATGAAGGGTTTTAGACGCCAAAGCTTGTCGAAGTATGTCACAGTGTTTCAGTTTTTGTTTTATTAACTTTACAAATCCTGACCGTGATCCCAACATTGACGGAACACCATCTGTGCAAACACCATCAAGTTTGTCCCATGAAAGTTCATATTTAACAAAAAAGTCTGCAATTGCTTTCATAACAACAGCAGCTTTTGATGTACTATTTAATTCCTATAAAAACAGTATCTCATCCGTTATTGCATCGTTACAATAATAATAATACAACATTGAGCAACATCAGTGCTTTCATCACTCTGTATTGCGAAAAAGGCGACTTTCGAACTGCTTCTACTGTTTGAAGTTTTATATCTTTTGCCATTTGATCAATACTGTATTATCGGAAAGTGAATTTGGGAAAGCTTTCTTTTGCTTCCAGTATCAAGTAAAATTTCAGCAGCTTTTAAAAGGGATGGTTTAATTACAGTTTCACCGATGTAATGAGACTTTTTGGGTTTTGCGATAAACAAAGCGAGTTCATAAGAGGCTTCCACAACTTTTTGATTTGTTTGAGAAACTGTTCACCAGTATTGTCTAGCTTGGAAAAACTCTTTTGGTTTGTCTTTTAATGAACGATGTTTTAAAAATAGGTGTCGTTGATTACTAAGANAAAATTTCCCAAAGTGTTAATAAGAGTGTCCTCTTTCCAATAAACCAACCCATTTTGAAAAATAACTTTTAGTTTTTGAGAAAACGATGTTTGAAGTTTAGATAAAATTTTCGATGTTGCACTTTTCATCGATAATTTTCAAAATTCGCTATAAAATTAATTTCTTGAAGGATCCTTGCGAAAATATCGCCAATTATTAATTAAAGTATCCTCTTTTTAATGCAATAAACCGTTTTGAAAAATCGCTTTTACTTTTTGAAAAATAAATTTTTGAAATGATCGACAATTTTTTCGAATTTTGCAATTTTCGCCGATTAAGTTGTAAAAATTCGTATAAAATCCACTTCTTGGAATATGAGTATCAAAATTTCCCAAAATGTTAATAAGAGTGTCCTCTTTCCAATGTACCAACACGTTTTGAAAAATAACTTTTAGTTTTTGAGAAAACGATGTTTGAAGTTTAGATAAAAGTTTCGATGTTACACTTTTTATCGATAATATTAAAAATTCGCTATAAAATTAATTTCTTAAAGGATCCTTGTGGAAATATCACAAATTATTAATTAAAGTATCCTCTTTTTAGAGTTGCTTAGTTAGTTAAATCATCAAAAAAGTTCATTTTGTGTCTTGGATCCAAATAAGTTGACATATCTTATTAGCTTTCTTATTAATTTCATTTTTATTCAAATATCGTAATAATGTGGCGATATAGGGTATCACTTCAGAAATGCACCAGAAGTTATAACCATAATGGCCGGATAACCGGATATTCTACCCATTAAAATTATTCATATAACGGACACTCCCTTCCCCATATTAATAACGGATAAATGTCGAGGTTTTACTGTATATTAAACTTCTGGTGCATTAAAGGCCTGTCAAATCTTTGTTTTTTTCATAATATGTTATATATTCAAGGTTATATAATATTTATACAAAACATTAGAGGAAAACACGTCATCCAAATAAATTCCTGATTTAACTTATGGTTGTTTTTTCCGTACTTATCATTAGGAAATGTCGTTGGGAATAGATAATTTTAAAATAGTTGCATAATTACGTTTAAAAATAGCGAAAGTAATTGTAAAAATTTTTGGCTGATTTACATCTTGTTTGTTTGTCTACCGATGAAATATTTTTGTCATCTGTTTGGGCAGATGTCGTCGTTTTATACAAAACATGTACTAAAATAAATCACAATTGAATAACTTTTTAATGTTGTTTTTGTTTTCAGTTGCCGGCTGTTGACCCGTTCTTGGATAAAGTCAACTATTCCGATCTAGGTAAGGTTTATTTATATTTTATTTTATTTATTCGCCATAAAAAAGCAGAAAACTTATTTATATCTTTTGCAATTATTAATGTTATGTCATTATTATTACCGAGGTATTTTTTGTACATTAACAAAAACCTGTTTGCTTATTCATAGGATGGCCAGGTTGAATCAAGTGTTGTAGCCTTGGAATATTTAAAACGAGTGTGTTTCTCGTTTTGTTGTATTTTTTTAATTCAACTTTTATGTGCCCATTATTGGTTTCAATTTGAATTTTTCATAATTGTTATCAGTTGCCAAAGCAGTGTAAATTTAAAAGTAGTGGTAATGCATAACGATCGATTCGAAATAGACTACTATTTCGCTTGTACCAAAGCGTGGAGCGATTGTGGCCCCTTTCGGGTCCGTCGCAACGTTGACGCATGTTTCTCGACGATCGGTTTTTGGCAACCGATGTTAGCCCCCCGAATTGCGACTAAGAATAGACTAGAGAGCACCTCGGCCAGTGTTCTTCTGTTTTTCGCTATGGCCCTACGATGTGCCAAACAGTTTTTCTTCAACGGTGGTTGTTGTTGGGTTTTAGCAGTGTACAGTTTTTTACCATAAATTAACACCTAAACAGGATTTGTCCTTATTTTGTGACAAATCCGTAAAAAAACAGTGGCAAAGATAAATGTGTTTGTTTTACTTGTAATTTAATTTGAATAGTTCGAAATGTGTTGCGATCGGATACGATGTTAAAGAACGTATAGAAATAGGAGGTGGCGGAGGAGGTTAGAATGTGTGGTTGTGTATACACGGAATTTATTTTTAAACGTTTTCGTTTGGGCGTGTTTACAAAACACCAGTGTTCATTCGATTTATGTTTCAAAATTCATTCAGAAGAAATGATTAAGATTCGAATCTTTAACTAGAAATAATCATCATAAATTGTTATTAATGACGAGTTCGAATAAGGAAACTCGTTTGTTTTAATATATTTGTATATTATTAATAATACAAAATCGCACGACCACCTGTTACTTGTCCTATTTATTTTTGGAACAAACCTGTTCATTTTCATAATTATTTTTTGGCGTCGCACAAGTATAACTTACATATTTTTTGGGTAAATGAAAAACGAGAACGTATCTTGTTGGAACAAAGTTGTATAAAAATATTATAACATTAAAAAAAAACTACTTTGAAATGAAGGGGGGGCATGTTCTGTCTTCATTATTATTCCAATCACGCCCGTCAGCGTTTAGCCACTATTGCCGAGGAAGACGAAGAAGTTTATAGGATTGATCAAATTAAGGAGTTTGATGAAGTTTCGCAATCTTACAAAGAATGGCTCATCGATATTTTACAAAGAGGTAATAATATTACCAACTATACTAAATACACTTAAAAAAGGTTGTTTTTAAAATTCGATTAGTTTATATGAACGTGGATATAAAGCGTGGGCAACAAGCTGTACAATTTTACGAATCATGTCAATATCATTCACATTCCGTATACTTGAATGTTTAGTAAACATGTATAATTGGACGGTCCAATAGACCGTCTAAAAATACTTTCGTATCGAAATCTTATAAAATGTTTACCAGCTGAATATTGAAGTTCTGGAATTTAATATGCTCATTCTACGTACCACTATTGCATTATAAATACGAATACATACAGGGTGTTTCAGGTTTTTGTAGCAGGATTTTAATAGTCGACAGATCTTTTAAAATTAACACAAAAACTTCATTAAACACAGGTCGACAAACGCTTTGTTTTGAAGATACAGGTGTTCAAATGAAATTTTTAAATTTAATTTTATTTAATATTACACGTGTATTTCAACCGATTCTTTTCAAATTTGGTATACGGAGGTTTTTTGATGACTAAAATAACAATAACTTTTCTGGCAGTATACTTTTTGGCTTTTTGAATAAAAATTCTTATTCTCTGTACAGGGTGCCCCAATTTCGATGTCCGCATAGGCTATCTCCGAAACTAAAAGAGATAGAAAAAAAGTAGCTTACATGTCATGATCTCGTTTTTCGAGAAAATGCTAATGCCGAAAACTCCGAACAGCTATCGTCTTTTGTTTTCGCCCTATCGGCAAAAACTGAAAATTTTGCGAAAACGACAATCGCGAATATCTCACTTATTATCAAAGATGGAGTATTATAAATAAAACATTATATGGGCAACTTTTTACGAAGAATTCAGTGGCGTAGGTAGAATTTTTTTCCCATCTTTTATTTTCGAGATTTTAGACGTAACTTTATTTTTTTAAATGGAAACCATAGTTGGCTATGACCTAAAATAATTTGTTATTTTCTTCTGATAACAAATATATATAGTTTGTGGGGTATATTTCTTATAGTTATTGAATAATTAACAAAAATTCATTTTGTTCTATCTAAAACTAATGTATGTATTTAAAAGTTAATGTTGCTATGGTGATAACCATACATACTATGATGGAACATAATGTATCAAATAATTGCCAAAGTTTGTATTTAAAAATTCGATAACAACTCTGGCATTATGTGCTGGTACGATGCACCAGCATGTTAAGTGTCAAAGTATAACAAAACTGAATAAAACTTTACAATGAATTTCGAAAATTATGAAAAATGTAACATGATGGAATGCTATATGTTATCAGATAAGAATGCGACGTTAGCCGCGGAATTTTATTTCACAAGATATCCAGAAAGAAGACAACCGCACGTAAGAACCTTCAGCCGGTTAGCAGAAAATTTAATAGATATTTGGTCCTTCCCCAAACCACATACAAAAACATACCAAAATGACCTGCAAGAGAAATTGCAACAAGACGTCTGACCCAAAAGCCGCTGCTCCCGAATATGAAAGAAAAATAAGTATAAACCATACAAAGCGGGGCTAACTCATTATTTACGTGCCGGAGATGTCAATCGAAGATTAGAATTTTGTAGATGATATTTAAAAAAATTAAATAATCTGCTGTTTGTTCAAAATGTTATCTGGACCGATGAAGTCTCTGAGTGTTCAAAGAAGATTGGGGTTCAATGTATGGTGTGCCCTTTTAGATAATAGAATTTTGGCATATAGTATCTACCATAAAAACTTAAACTCAGGGAAATACCTCAATATATTAAGGCAGCACATTGAGCCTTTGGTCGACAATTTGCCACTAAATATGTCTCAAATGATATATTTTCAATATGACGGAGCACCAGCACATAATGCCAGAGTTGTTAGTGAATTTTTAAATACTACTACAAACTCAAGGACAGTAGAATCTAACAGGACTGCTACATCCATTGTTGTGACAGCCTACCCGCAAACTACGTCACACCATTTTCCACGCCCAGCTGTTGTTATGGTCTATGCGTTTGCTGTGTGTTTTTAGAGGTTATATCCTAGACGTATTCATATTAGTTTTGAAGTTTTATGTTTTTAGACGTATTAATGTCTATCATATAACCTCTAAAAACATAGACAGTTATCAGGCGTGGCAAATAGTGTGACGTAGAGTGCGGGCAACCAACCCGTAGTCGACTACAAAAATACAATGGATGTAGCAGTCCTGTTAGATTCTACTGTCCTTGCTACAAACTTTGGCAATAATTGGAAACAATGCTTTCCCTCATGGTATGGTTATCACCATAACAACATTAAGTTTTAAATACATACAATAGTTTTAGAAAGAACAAACAAAATTGATACATTATATTCCATCATAGTATGTATGGTTATCACCATAGCAACATTAACTTTTAAATACATACATTAGATTTAGATGGAACAAAATGAATTTTTGTTAATTATTCAATAACTATAAGAAATATACCCCACAAACTATATATATTTGTTATCAGAAGAAAATAACAAATTATTTTAAGTCATAGCCAACTATGGTTTCCATTTAAAAAAATAAAGTTACGTCTAAAATCTCGAAAATAAAAGATGGGAAAAAAATTCTACCTACGCCACTGAATTCTTCGTAAAAAGTTGCCCATATAATGTTTTATTTATAATACTCCATCTTTGATAATAAGTGAGATATTCGCGATTGTCGTTTTTGCAACATTTTCAGTTTTTGCCGATAGAGCGAAAACAAAAGACGATAGCTGTTCGCAGTTTTCGGCATTAGCATTTTCTCGAAAAACGAGATCATGACATGTAAGCTACTTTTTTTCTATCTCTTTTAGTTTCTGAGATGGCCTATGCGGACATCGAAATTGGGACACCCTGTACTTTTAAAGCAAAAAGGGTACTCTTATCAAAATGAGCTAAAGTTTATCGTTTTCAAGATAATCCGCTTTTTATTATTTGGTACAGACCAATGTTTTTAGAGGATACTTAAAGATGGTTAAAATAGTGTATGCCATAGAAACAAAGAAGATAAATTAACTAATGTTTCAGTTTATTAATGTTTTTTAATCTAAATAATAAAAGAAAAAAATTAAAGAAATTGTTGAAAATGTAAGAAATTTTGCTTGCATAATTCTGACCGACGAATTACTGATCGAGTAACGGTATTTAAGAACGGCCTTATGTCATTACAAGCATTTCTAATCCTATTAAAAGTTCATCCATTGTGGGAACAGGTGTGTCATACAATTTTCCTTTCAAATATCTCCACACAAAAAAGTCTAAAGCATTCAAATCTACAGATCGTGGGGTCATGCGACTGGATGGATCCATCTTGCAGGAAAATGATTGTCTGGCCAATTTCTTATCGCCCTACCATGATAAGCTGCGCAATCATCAAGTTGAAACCAGGCCTTTTTTCTTAAAGCTAAATCAATGTCATCCCACATATTGGCATGTTCAGCTACCAAAAATTAGAAAAACGCCGCAGCGGTTAGTTATGGTGGCAAAAAGTATGGCCCGAAAAGATGATTATTATAAACACCTACCCAGACGTTGACACTAAATTCATGTTGGTAGTTTCGTGGCCGAATTGCATAGGGATACCAAAACATGTAAATGTGAAAGTTTAGAATTCCACGTCTTGTGAAACATGATTCATCGTTTCACATC